CATGTGTGTTTAATATTTGGATTTGGGGTGATGGGGTATCTGACAGAGCAAAGAAGCTCTTTTTTGGTCTAACCTAACAAGAGCTTCACTCGTTATGCATAACAATTTGAGAGAGGACATGGTCGAAAGACACTTATGATAAGTACCACTTGTACGTGCCCAGAAGAACAAATGTAATGTTGAACGGGAATCATTGTAACTGAATATTTTATTCGCGTGTGACTGAAAGACCCAGTGGTAATCTACTTGAAATTCTCTTCTAATACTCAAATAAAATATGAAGAGCAAAAAAAAAGAGAGAAATAAAGCGCGAGGTCAGTGTGTCATGATGATCCAAACCACTAGATGATTTCCACGATTTTGATTAGAATCTGATTTTGAAGAGTTGAAGATGAATCTGCGATAACCCACTGTCTTAAAGGTAAGACTACACTGTTGAAAGGTCATGATAGATCTACTTATGATCAGATAATGCCGGTATAGAAATTAAATCTTCTCAACGTGCGTGATTCATGAATGAGCTTACGCACTTCTAGATGCCCAAGTGAGATGTATTTCACTATAATCATAATCTCTCGTGGTTAATAGTGCTGTCTACAAATCCTCGAGTACATTCTCAATGATAGAATTGAATCCCCAAGTGGGGATATACGGTATAACGGATCTTTTACTCGGAGTAGGTCGATACGTGCAGCAGTTGACACCGATTAGAACATCGAGGAAAACATACTTTCAGGCTTTTTTTTTCGGTTTTATCCATCATTTTTATATCTATCCTTTCTTCCCTTTCCAATGCATATTCATGGATTTTGGGTGGTCCGCTGTGGAATTATTTCACGTAATCGGTAATAACGAAAGGAGTTATTGCTGATATCTTCTCATTTATCATTGCCTTTCTGGGAAATTTCTGGGAAACCTTGGATCAGATCGACGTGAAAAAATCCGGCATTTATAGGTCTTATCATTATTCAATGACTCAAATTTTCATAGTTGAACGTTTGTTTCCCTAAATTTTCATGAATTAAAAAAAAATTACTGAGAACGGCGGGAATTCTTCTACGACATTGAATAATAATAAAAATTTTAAATGTTATATTTTTTCACGTCAATTTTAAGTCAAAAGGAGAAGATACCGGCAATAACTCCTCAAGATAGAGAGACAATTCATTTTTTTTTTCATGTAGTGGATGCTGATACCAAATATTTCCATATGTGGCATTGAAAAATATCGCTAAATTATAAAAAATTATTTTCTAGGCGTGGTGGTACTAGAGCAACATTTGATAACCTTGATATTGGGGCCGCGTCCCCAAGATGATTATCATATTGGAATCAAAGTTACGGAACCAATAATCGTACGTGGTCTGAAGATTGTTATCCAACTTTCTTCTTAGCATAATTGAATGTGGTTCGAATTAATCGACTCAGGTTCCATTGGTGATTGATACAAATGGAATGAGATCACAGCATTATGGATAAGCACCTTCCCACATTGAAAAATATATTTTTTAAGTATATAATGTGGATAAATTCCTTATATTCTGATATATGTTGCAAAATATACATCTTTTCGAGTGACTTTCCTCTCATGAATTAGTGGGAATAATTCGTCCTCAATAGAAAAATGTTATAATATTTTCTGAAAGTAATTATTTGCATGCAAAATAAATACGATATTTATTTCACATCTATAATGACATTAGAATACATATAAATTTTCTATTTTGTATATCTATTGCTGAATTTCTTAATTAATTAATTAATTCGATTACCCTCATGGAAAAACTATACATGCGAATAATTATACGACATGTATTCTATTTATTGCGGGAATATCTGGCGCGTAAGTAAATAAATAATTAAATTGACGAAATTCAGAGTGGGTGTTTATATTGACAGTTTTCAAAATTACGAAATAATTGGCGCCCAACTAGAAATGGTCTCTAACTTTTGGGAAAGAATTTGATCCGTTTGTAGTCCCTGAAGCTTATGGGTGTGGCTGTAATTTATAATTAAGAAATGAAACATTGAAATAAAGACTTTGTCAGGTTCTCCACTTTATATCCACTCCAAATTTTGAGATCTTATCAATTCAAATGAAATTAACGTTAAATCAATTCAAGATACAATCCTCAAAAATTCATTTTAAAAACCATATTATATAACATTTGAAATCCGGTTAAACTTTTGATTATTTATTTGAATTAATCTATCTAAAATGGTTTGAAAAAAACTTTATATTAAAAAAAATGAAATGATGAGAATTTGATATGTATTGAGAGCCTTGTGTTACATGCGCCTTTTTCCTGGTGAAACAAAAACTCTTTAGCCTTCATAGGAGCGTCTTCAATTTACGGTGTTTCTCATTTCTCAAAACGAAAATTGGAGGTAGTTTCCATGTGGGTGTGTATTGCTATCGAGCAGGAGCCGTTAGATGATTACAAAACATTAGAAATCCTCTTACAGCGCTTCCTCGTGTCTATCGTGACCGCCTAGCAAGTTATCACTAATACACGCATTCTTTGGATGGAAAAGCACCTCAGTTAGATGTATATTATATTCCAGTATAAGTATCACCGATATACTGGACTAGAGATGCCGTTGAGCTCGGGTCAGGAGGCCGCGGAGCATAAGTAGACATCTTCACCGAATAAGAGGGCTGAACAAACCCCGTTCAATACAAAAATTCAATTCAAAATATTTAACATTCCCGAAACAATATATTTTAAAGAATACCATAGATAATAAACTTATTATAATAAACTTTGAAAAAACTTTTTTTTTTCAATTTTGAACTTTGAAATTTGGGGTTCACGGAACCCCGTGTCATCGCAATGAGTTAAGTATATAGCTTATATACTTGGATTAAGGATAAAATATATTTGATTAAAGTATATTTTTCCGTGTGAATGAGAAGGAAGTGACGAATGGTGCTGTAGTTTCGGATGATCAGAGAAAAATGATGAGTTCTGATGAAGATATAGAATCAACCCTGCTGTAAAAGGCTAGCGACTGGAAATTGAGGTTGCCAACACAACCAGTTACTATCAATGTAACAAGCCGCCGAACACTCATATGCACGTTTTCTCTGTCACCAGGCGGGTTCGTTTCGTTTTCGCATATCTTCCGAGATGTTTTACGAGGTGCTTGAAAACCGACAACGGTGAGATTTAATGGTCCTCTCAAGTAAGTACATGAGATCAACTTGAAGGCCCAATGTACAACACGAGGCCAGTGAACAGCACCTTTGGAGGAAGAAAGTTAACCGGGTACACACTAAGTTTCATACTGGCGCAACATTCCGCACAGAAAGGAATTACAAACATCAAGAACTGGTTATTTTTACTTTTTTCTTCATTTTTATTTTTAGGGAGCGGAAGATGTAAAGAGTGAATGCCTTCTATCATAAACCAGTCGATATTGAGTAATTGTGTGTACGGCGCTTATTGTTTATGATTCTATTATGATAAGTCTGGAAATTGAGATGTGATGTGTAGAATGCATCCTTGTGTGAAGATCACTGGGAATGAAGGAAGAAATGTTGTGATATTACTTTTCCTATTTTTGTGACATTGATAGTGCCATGTGAAAATCTTTCATCTGAGGATAAAACTGATTTTTGTTTAAGGAATTTTTATTTTTTGTTACAGTCTGAAGAGTGATTATCTCTGATCATTCAAGAAATTACTTTGGAAACGTATCAATCAAACATTTGGTTCTCATCAGATTTCTTACTTAGAGGTCGAGTTAGAATTAGTTAGAGCTTGTCTTGCGTTAGAAAACTATTGGGACTAGGTGTTCTAGTCAAATTTTTATCACCACTTGTGGCAAATACAGATTTTTCTTTTGATATATAAGGATTTATAAAAGCTTGTCATCAGTAAATGGAAAAAATTTTCAGAATGCGTGTCTTATCTGTCTTATCTCGTTTCTTAAAATTAATAAAGAAAGGGAAAAATTCGTCGCAAAAAATCGGAAATTTCGCCAGTTGATTGGCATCACTTGAGTCTAGGTCGCTGTCGGGTCACCCGGATCGATCCAGTAGTTTCTGAGAAAAAACCATTACGTATTTTCGGGAATATCTCGACAAATACTCAATCGTTTGACTTGTTTTTCTTTTCAAAATCTTCCTCTTGACGCCCACTATCTCGAGCAATCAAATTATATATTGTATAACCATGGGTCGACAGTTTTGAAAATATTGCGTTATTTTACTTTTTATAGAAAAGAGTTATTCATGGCATAGCAGTCTTCAAAATTGATATATTAATTAGAAATTCCACTCAAAATTGTCTGTTCTAATGACACCGGCTGCTATTGAATCGAGGCTCAATTGGATACATCTTATTTTTTCAATATCTCAATAACAACTTCCCTTCCCTTGTTTATGCTCAAAATTCTCAGGAACTAATCATTTCATTTTTGGAGATCTTAGGTAGTACCCTCAATTACTTAAAAAATGGGGCACTCTGTTACTAAAATCTAAAATCGATGCGAAAAACAAATAGCCAAATACAACTGTATTTTCAATAGATTGAAAATTCAGGGAATTAATCTTTAGCTTTAGTCTTCAACATTTTTAGGGTTTCTCAGTGTAATATCGTCCTGAAAATAAAAAATTACCAGAATATTCAAAAAATTAAAAAATTTGTCAGTGAATAATTCTACAAAAATTCCCTGGCACTCCGTGATGGTTTAAAGTGTAATTAAATATGTAATTCTTCAAAATTTCAAGTACGCAGAAAGCCTGCAGTATTTTCCTGATTTTTCATAAGCCAACTGGACAAAAGTTGTCGCCAATAGTTCACGGAAGTAATGCTTTTTTAGGGTGTTGCTAAAAATGATTGTACAGTTGTGTGTACTATGATATTATGGATTGGCAAGTAGGTCCCCCTTCTTCTGGAAGTTGTATGAGAGAAGGTAGACGTTGCACCTGTGCGCACCTCAGTCTTTCAACGAACGTGTTGTATTTTCACCTGGCAGTTGGTCTCCGAATCGCGAGCAACAAACACCTTCAATCACAAGAGACTCAGTCCCATTACCCGTCCACGTGGGAATATTTACTCTTTCATTCTCCATAAAACATCATATTTAAATAGACGTTCTAGTTGTTATTGATGTTATTTTCACATGAATAAGCCACGTGGGAATTATCTCTCATTGTGATTTAGTAAACTGTACACAACAGTGAAATGATGTTTGTGAGTTTTTATTATAATAAGAAGAAAAGTTTGAGGGTCAGGCGGTAGTGAAAGATTTCGGACAAAACGACAGGCACAAGTTGTCTCATACTATTTGACACCGAGCTCTTCAAAGGTGTCACAACATTTTTACAATTGTCCACTCCGAGCACTTGCATATTAAGTGGCAGAATATAATTAAAAGACATTAGAGTTCTGGAGAAATTTCAAACATGGATACCATACTGGAGAAAATGGAAAAGCTCAATTTGGTAAATGACTTATAATTTTATGAAATTCATTCTGGTCAGAGGGTTAAATTACCCATATCTTTATCTTATAACGGAGTCGTTGATCTCTCCAATTATTTCGTATGACCGTTAGATATTCTTTATTTACCTCGATTTTCTAGGAAAACTAGTAGATATTTTGATGATGCGTTGAGCGTATCTAATTCATCTGATTTATCTTTTTGAAACTGTTAACTGTGAACAGGCGGTAATTGTGATTAGCATTTCTTACTCGATCTTTGATAATTGTGGAGCTTGCAGGGAATATATGCTGTTGTGCGGATAAATTGATGGTAAATCACTGTTGTTTAAATAATCTTAAAAAAAGTCTTAAAATCAATATGATAATTCGTGGAACAATGTCTCAGAATCAGGTCGGTTTAATTTGGAAAATCATTATGTACTTTATACGTATCGCTTTACCATGTAAAAATCATTGAAAATTTCGCAATATGCAATGGGGAAACTTTTTAACAATGAACAATGGAAAATCTACATAGGTAATATGCATGGGCAATCTTGCAGGAGACACTGTGAAAATCTGGCGTCTAATAATCATAGATTTCCCCTTCTTCCGGTTCTTTCTATTAATAATTAAAAAAGGCAAAACATTCACTCACTAATTGGAGTATTCCTCCCAAATTGGTGAATTTATTCATAGATACATTTGAGGAAAAATCATTTCGAATCAGAAATTCCCACACTTTCATTGACAATTTTTTTAATCATAGAAAATTTCAAAAGGCCAATTTATTTTTATTTCTATTATTTTGAGTTACAAAAATTGTTTTTTTCTGTTTGTGATATTCTCCAATTTTTTTTTCAATTAAAAAATCATTTGAAGTCAACTTTTCAGCTGAATTTTTTAAATGCAAATACAAATGCAATTTATCAATTGCAGTCGCTGGAATTTAGAGAAAGAATGCTAAAATTGGTGTTTTTTTAATTTGCATTTCATCTTCATTTCAAATCCGGAAAAATTTCCAGTTTAAAGACAATTGAAGTGTCAATTATTGAACAAATTACACTCAGAGTAGATGAACAATTCCGGTATTATACTTATCTATAATATAACGAAGGTTTCACAGTGATTGGATGTTTCTCCATTATTTCATTGTAACCAATCCTTCAGAACTATGTAATGCAAAACTTGAGGTGTTGTGCAGAGGAAAGTTTGATGGAAATAACTATTTTGAGACTCGAGTGGTATTCCGTGTACTCTGTTATTTTATGTTATTGGTATGTCTACCAAGTCCCTCTTGGTTTTTACATTTTTTTCCTCCCCATGTCCCATACCACGTGTAACTTCCATGTTCTTTTTTTTACAATGTCACCTACAAATTTAATCACGGAATTTTAAGAAATCTGCAGAGGTATTGTGAAAAGCGATAAAAATCTCACAGGGTTCTCCTCCGAATGTAAGAATTTTGGAGTTAAGGTTCTCAGGACGACAATACTCTGTTGGAATATTTGTATAAACAAATCAACGGTCTGTTCGAATATTTCTATAAACAAATCAACAGTCTGTTCGAATATTTGGATAAACAAATCAACAGTCTGTTCGAATATTTGAAGACAGCTCTTTTGCGCTTTGTAGAAAGATCTCTTGATGACACTACTAAGGAAAATTTACGATCTGTTGTGCTCCCAACTCGAACGGTTTAATCCCAACGAAGTGTTAAATTTGAAGGAAAGCTGTCCTGACAATGTTTTCCGTGAATGACTCATTTTTCTCCAATAAGGGTTTTCTTATTTGGATGTAGTTTTATCTTTGGACGATGGTCTCCCAAAAAATTTCTGCCTTCTTCGTGCAAACAAACAGAATTTGATAAAATATCTTGGCAGTGTCTAGAGACACGGTATATGGCAATTACCCTGAGAGAAATATTCAATAAAAACTACGTGTTTTTTCCGTAATTCTGGAGCGAAACGTGGTTGTCGGAAATTTTACGGAACTGTCACGTAATTTTCATTTAAAGTCACGGAACTTTTTCGCGGTGTTCCGTAATTTTTATTAGAATTATCGGTGAAAAATAACAATACCGTCACTTAAATTTTTCGAATCAACTCCGTAATCGGTAAGTGAACTGAAAGTTCCGTAATTTTTACTAAATATTTCTCTTCGTGTGCCACACGCCCAAGGTAACGTTTACCATATGTTTAAGCCCTTTCTTGCCATACACGCATGGCAAAAGCCATGTGCGTATGGCTTTTGCCATTCGTGTATGGCTTTTGCCATTCGTGTATGGCTTTTTCCATGCGTGTATGGCTTGTTGATTATGTGCGCACGGCTTTGGCCGCGCGTGTATGGTCTTTTCCATACGTGTATAGCTTTTGCGCAGAAATTCTCTGAATTGCTCCAATACTTCTAAAAATTCTTCGAATTTTTCGAGAACTCCTTAAATTAGTTAGGGGTTAAACCAATTGGGAAAGAAAAAACTCATGCAATTCCAACGCGCATGGCAACAGTCATACACGCATGGCAGCAGCCATATACGTATGGCAACAACCATACACGCATGGCCAAAGCCGTACACGCATGGCAAAAGCCGTACACGAATGGCAAAAGCCATACACGCATGGCAGAAGCCATACACGCATGAAAAAAGCCGTACACGAATGGCAAAAGCCATACGCACATGGCTTTTGCAATGCGTGTATGGCTTTTTCCATGTGTGTATGGCAAGGGCTTAAACATATGGTAAACGTTACCTTGGGCGTGTGGCAATTGCCATATACCGTGTCTCTAGACACTGTCCAACTAACATTCCCTTCTTTCACCTCAACTGAAAATAATCACCGAAGGATTCACGAATTGAATGTGTTGGATGATTTTTTCCATTCGAATTTGAGTCAATGGAATGATTTCATTTGATTTACATGAATTCCCATGTAATTATGTGACGTCATTAGAAATGAATGAATTAAAAATTCATTGGATTCAATGATTTTAATGATAAACATCCGATAATACTCATCTATTCCATTCACATTATTTCAATTAAAGAGTTGTTGCTGATATCTTCTCATTTTTCATATTTTTTTGATGAATTTCTGGGGCATCGTCGATCAGATTGTCGTGAAAAAATATATGTTCTATACTCACAATCTCTGCTTGTCTTTTCTGCTGATCATTTCCTGATTCTGAGAACTGGATGATAAATGAAGTTTAAGCATTTTTAATGCTCGATATGATGAATAAGACGATATGACGAATAACCCCATTAAGAGGAATATTTCGAAAAAAAACAAATGGCAATCCATTGAGTGCTTCCTGTGCTTTCATAACATTCTATACAACTTGCTATTGAAATTAGAGAATCAAAAAATCGGTCGAATTGCATTCGAAAGAGAAAGGGAGAGAACAGAATAATTTTCACAACAGCTCGTGCGAAAGACAATTTTTATTTATTTTTCCTGAAATGAGGAAGATAACTCATTAGCAAAACATAACGTGACATTAAAACTGTTAACTCACTTCACTGAAATGATCAATGAATAAGACTGGATTGAAAAAGATTTATTTGGATGGTCTCCTGAATCCAAGTCATGTACTTCCCCACTTCAAGAAATGTCCCCAATATCTCATCATTCGGTATAAAATTTAAATCTGTTAGAATAGCGCTGACTTCTGAATCTGATGAATCTGTCTGGGCAAGAATCGGCGTACCTCTATTTTCCTAATAAATCAAATAATAATTATAATGCTCAAAACAAAGATTATTCGATAGAGCCAATTGTTCTCACCAGGCATGGCGTCAATCTCCACCGCCCACATGAATAAATATCTGGCAAAACTGCTGTGTAGTGGGCATCCGTCTTTTTACCATGCCGATGAAGGGTGACATTTGACCCATGTAAAACGAGTGGTTGCGGGGTAAAGTAAGGAGGTCGAATCCATCCGACATATTTATAAGAACGATGACCATTAAATAGACAGTTGAGCCCTTCTTGACTTTCCTTGAACGAAGCTGGGTGAAGACGATGACTCAAAAGGGAAGGCTTGACCAGCTATTTGTTCGACGAATGAGAAAGGAAATCATTATTAGTAATGGTGAATAATTCCAGGATTTATAATTTACGCAAGCTGTCTCACAATATCGAGATTATGCCAAAGAACTGAAAATTATTTCGATTAAATGATAAATTGAATACCGTTATGACAGCAATATCATCCCTGGTGTATGAACCATTTTGATCCTGCCTTCCGATTTGGCTGTATGATGGATGAGTCACATATGATTCAACAGAGTATTGCGGTTTATAAAAATATGGAAACCTCATGTCTTTGGCAAGTACAATTAGCCGATCAGCTGGAATTCTCTGCACACAGGTAGCAGTTGTGATAACATGATTTGAATCGTAGATAATGCCACCGCAGTGGAGCTTATTGTTCAACCATATGGATACAAGGAATGGAAGGTTAGAAGTGTCTATCCGCTCACTTCTAGCATCTTAAAAGTAACTAATTAATTAGACAATAATCTGATTCTTTACTATTAATAATTATACAATTACGTTTACACTTACGGTGAGAAATACGGAGAAGCAGCAATATCATGAAACACAATGAATTGGTCTTCATTGCGAAACTCAAGATGTAGTTGAGAAGAGAAACAGATGCAAACCACTTGGGTGTATCCATGCTTTACGGTTTAACATTCTCGTTGTACAATGCAATGTACGAAAGCTGAAGCTCTTTATACGAAAAGTCCACAGCAATACGGAAATGGTTGTAAAGAATATTTTACTTAATTATTTTTTACTACTATACGTGTTCTCACGATTTCCGAAAAATCATAAAGATTACCGGAGATCGGGTAATTCTGAATGTGACGATGAATAAATTGACACAAATGAGCATATTGTCGCAAAGGAGTTCTTGGAACTTTCACCTCAAAACATCTAAATAACTTAATCGTCTTCTCTTCGAACTCCACCAAGGATACTGCACCAAATCAATTAAGTTTGGGTTCAATGAAAGTGACAAATTATCTTTTGAATAATTGTCAAAAAACTTTTTGGTCACATATATGCATACGCACGGATATTTTTCGAAAAACTTCATTACCCAAAGAAACGAAAATTTCGCAAAGATTGGGATGCTTTAATGAAAAAGCTATATGAAGACTGTCACACTCGAAGTTAGTCATCTAAGCATGAGAAATTGCATGCTTAAAATCAAGCGATTACAATGCTTCCATTCGAAATTACCAATGCAAAAAAATGGCCGATAATAATGTACTGTTCGGTTCGGACAAATTCGAGATTATTTATAGGAGCAAACAATATAAAGTCCGACCTCACAGTCTGACAATAATATTTTTATTGTGTGGATGCTTAAACTTCCTTTATCATTCAGTTCTCAGAATCAGGAAATGATCAGCAGAAAAGACAAGCAGAGATTGTGAGTATTGAACATATATTTTTTCACGACAATCTGATCGACGATGCCCCAGAAATTCATCAAAAAAATATGAAAAATGAGAAGATATCAGCAACAACTCTTTGATTGAAATAATGTGAATGGAATAGATGAGTATTATCGAATGTTTATCATTAAAATCATTAAATCCAATGAATTTTTAATTCATTCATTTCTAATGGCGTCACATAATTACATGGGAATTCATGTAAATCAAATGAAATCATTCCATTGACTGAAATTCGAACGGAAAAAATAATCCAACACATTCAATTCGTGAATCCTTCGGTGATTTTTTTCAGTTGAGGTGAAAGAAGGGAATGTTAGTTGTTGATGTTGGAATTATCTAAGATCTCCAAATTGGTGGTTCACCGCCTGTCCCAGTTAGTCATAGTGCAGATGAGCCAGTGGCACCAGGCTTCAATATATTCATCAAGACAGACAAGAGTGTGTTTGAAAAATATGTGACCAAGAAAACGCGTGCCACCAGCCCCGTTCGTATAATTCATGCTTCCCTGCATTTATTTGTTCAGTCATCTTTACTTTTGAATATAATTGACTATATTATTTTTGGAGAGGAAAATTCAACCCCCAGGATGGAGAATATGTTTTTCTTTTTATCATTTACATGAGGTTTTAGTAGAAAATTGGAGAACTACTTTTTCATTCCAGAAAAATATATTGCATTGGAATTTCAAGGTCGTACTGAAGGTCAAAACATATTTATAATGCTGGAAGATATAGTTCTCTCTGCAATGACCCGGTCATAAATAACAGGGGCGGAAAATTCCCAGAAAAAATGATCCCCTCACCATAAGTTCCACAACAATGGGAGGAAAAAGGTGCGTGACGCACGTTTGGGTTGGCCAGTAGTGAATATTTTATCTCCTTCCACTAACCTGAAAAAGTACTCCGTACCGATTCTTACCCTGAATAAGGAATAATCTATAAACAACTTGACCGACTTCTGGTTTTCTGAATGCAAATGAATGCAAAAAGGCTGTATCGGTGATTTGAAAAAAATGTTAATTGCCTGAACTTTCAACAGCATTTGCTTTTATTTCGAGATGCTCAAAAGCAATAGAAAGTAAGTCAACAAGGCAATATACTATCAGTGAGTGATTGCAACAAAATGAAAACTACTGAGAATTTTAGTATTAGAAATCACTAGCACTCAAGAGAAAAGTTTCAACTGTAAATTATAATATTTCTATTCAATTTTTTATTGAAAATGAAGTTAACTTTGACAGCTGAACAAGTGAAAACATATACTTGAACCTAGTATGTTTTTTTATTTGTTTTGCGTGCACACATTATAGGAGAGGGTGGGGTAAAATGGACTGATGAGTCAATATTTAGCAGTGAAAAAAAATATTTACCGGTAATAATTTCGAAATTTATGTTAATATATTTAGATTCTAAACATAAATTTCTAAGTTCTAAACTAAACTCTAGAACCCCCATGAAATACACATGTATCGACTTGAAAATAAACAACAACTAAAGATAAAAAATAATACAATAAAAAATATAATAATAAAAAATCGTTCAACTGTAAATTATAATTTATTATTAATATATTAAGTTTAATTTCTGATCAGTTAAGCTCAATTGCCTCTTGTAAGGCTAATAAAAAGCCTAAAAGATCATTAATTCGAGTCTGGAGTATTTCATTTTCAAACATAAATGGGTTTTTATTGATAAAAACGATCTTTCAAACACTGAAAACTAATAAATCGATAGAAAATTAATATTCAATTATTTCCATTTCGCTGGTTTTCGGATCACTATAGTAGCGATCAGAAACCCAGATAGTGGCAGCAGTTGTTAATCATGGTGAGGGGTAGTTCTGATCACTACCGGAACGAAGGGATTAAGTAGTGAAACTAAGAGGTTTTTTTTACTTTAGTCAACGATTCATTATTTATATATTTTCAACTTTATTTGAAAAAAAACAAACTGGAAAACAATTTTTTTTCACCTTGGGCCACGGTAAACTAAAAAAAAAAACAAAACATTTTACGCTTTAAAAAATTTCAGTTTACGTGATAACGATATTGCAGATAAAAAGAATACACGTATTTTTTGTTTTTTTTTTTATTATTCAATACAGACTAGAAATAATTGAAATAACAATTGCCAATGGGTTAGTTTTTCGAGTTGTAGTTATTAATCAGCACATTCATTTAATATCCGCCTTTTTGCAAGTTGCATTTATTTTTTATTTTTAATGCATTGTGCTCCCTGTGTTTTATTTTTAATGCACTAATAATTTCTCGTCATAATAATATGATTTTTATAATCATTATGTACTCACATTGCGTGATATAAAAATTATTAACACCCCCTATTGTTTATCACAGGCTGTAACATTTCCAAAATGGCCACAGTATGTTTCCGCCTGGATGAAACGTTAAATTAAAAATATTTTCAGTGCTACCAAAAATCGAATTTAAATACCGATTAAAAAAAAATATCACTCTTCAAGTTGGTGGGCATTATTAGCCTATATGTGCAATGCCTTTATTTCTATCAATGAAAAATAGTGCAAATTGATCAAAAAATATCCCCCGATCAGTACCCCCCACCTTTACCTTACGTTATGTTAAACAATTATTTGTCAAATTAAAACACCAAAATAACGGTTGGCCGAACGCTAATTTCGTATAAGTGAAAAAAATATTTCAACAGTATAATATATTTTATGCAATACATGTCGAAAAGGACTTCTTGAGGAGTGTAATTAGCCCTCCCCCAGCCCGACGGCGCGACCTGTAATCCTTACACTTGTAAACAATTACTTTTTTCACTTGCATCGTAATAGAGGGGAATGTGGGCCTGTTGTTATTTGAATTTGTGAGGTAGTAGTTAACACTGTCGAATTTCTTTCTCGAATCATAGAACGGCTATCAGAATCTCTCATCTTGTAGAAAATTATTTCATAATTGTCCGATTCACTGTTAATTTGATGGTTCCAAGACAAGTGTAATGATTTATTTTGTTCAACAGCGTAATATAATTCGTATAAAAAAACATCGCTGAAGGACAGCCAATTAGAACTTTAAACCTATTCGATGATGTACATTATTATTAGCGATTTTGTTTACGTAACTTACGTTTTGTTTATTTTCGCAAAATCTCACTTGACATTTTATCAATCGGCTTATTGCGAAATAATGAATTCATCTATTGCATAGACATTACATACGTACGCATCTAATCATAAAAGACTGGAACCAATTCTGTCCCTTTTACTCTACACGGCGAAAAAAATTCAGTAAAAATTACCTAACCGTTTGGCAATCGTGTTGTGTTTTAGCTGTTTGCAGAAAATTACCATGCCACTTACCAAAATTTGTCAACTGCTTAGTAACTATTATGCAGTTATTCGAGAAAAAGTACCCAACTATTAGGTAATTTTCTTCAAACGGCTAGATAACTTTTAGTAAACACCCGACAAATTTTTATTATTAAATTATTAACAATTATCTAGCCGTCCGGTAAGGAAATCTGACTTTTCTCCGATGGCAAAACGGACAATGTTGTTTTAACTGCGGAAGGTGAAATAAGAAGCCATATCCACGTGCTCACCAATCTCGCCTTCGGCGCGACTTGCGGTTCTGCACGTGACTAAGGATCCATTATTTTATCTCCCTAGGCTAGAAAAAAAGTATTTCACGTATGTTGAAAATTTTCCCATGTTGATGTTTCCCAAGGCCTTTTCTCCTGGCGTTTTTGCTGGCCTATATGAGAGTGTCCGAACCCATTACAAACAAAAACCAATTCATCGACCAAGTGGGGAAATTTGCTTATCGCTGGAGACCCAACCCGATTCGTTGGTGAGTGGCTTAATAGAGAGAGTCCACTATAAAATATGTACAGGTTATCGCCAGCGCCTTGAAATTGAGATTTTAAATTATATGCATAAACTACAGTTCGAATCGGTTCCATTCCGTTGTTTTTCGGAATGCGTTGGATCAAAATGAAAAATGAAAGTCGGAAATGTTGATAATGACATTCCATGCCAATATTTGGAAGAGCGACTATATAAGGGAGGAGAGAAACGAATAAGAATACAAAACAAGTGATTTATTTGGTCCTCGCTACACTCTCACCAAAGATATTCAACGGCCAGGTCTGGCCGCCACTACATTAACTTCTCAAGAATATGTACTGTACATATACAGAATATGTACAGAATATGTACAGAATATGTACAGATATTCTTGCTCTCGTCCTGTCAAATTACCATACAAAGTGTCCGACAATGATTCTTTT